TCTCTCTCTCTCTCTCTCTCTCTCTCTCGCACACACACACTGATCTTTTAGTTGGTTGGACAAACGGATGAGGAGTATATATAGTTTAGGTGGAACTTTTCAGTTCTTCCTGTGATTTTCAAGAGAGTTCTCTTCACTTCATATTTATTTGCTGTCTTTGATCAGGTGACAAGAACATGGTAAAGGGATTGAACATTGGCATTGAAGGTAATCATTTTTATGGACTGAAACTGTATCCTTTATATCTTAAGCGTTCTATTATACTGTCTCTTATGCGTGCCTAAGCTTAAGCTGTACAGGTATGCATGTTGGTGAAAAGAGAAGATTCATTGTTCCACCATCTTTGGGGTATATACAAATTATTGCATCTTTTAAACTTGTTCGTTGTGATAAAAAGTTTCTACGTTCATGCCTTTTGTTGATGCAGCTTTGGGAAAAACGGTAGGCCTCCAGTACCGCCAAACTCATGGATCCAGTATGAAATTGAATTGGTTGATATATGTGAATAAAAGAGATAATATACAGTTACTCCATTCAGAATCCATTCAACAAAAGCAATGTTGCCAACCCTCTTGCTGAGGTAGTTATGTGAAGAGTTGTCTTACTATGTTTTTCCTCCCTGAAAACTGCATTTTAGACTGTAAGCAAAACAGTTCTCATCTCATGTGATGATATTAGCTGAAGGTTTTGTTTTTTGCTTCCGGGAAATGTTTATACCTGATTGCTAAGTTTGCATAGTGGCCCGGATGAACTTTGCCGCGACATCAATCGTGATGTATCAGTTTTCTTAGTTTAATTTTATTTAACATGTGTGAAACAACTTTTGTTTTGGACAGTCATAGGATATTTACTGTGTGCACATATCACCAACTAATGCAAATTAACAATTAAAAAAAGCATAATATATCGGACCCCTAACGTACATACCTAAACTAGTTATGGTCTTAATTACCCCCTTCAACTTACTGCCACATGGATACTTTTTGTCCACATGGCATGTTTGATAATAAAAAAAATATATTATTATCTTTCTAAATTCATTAATCTTTTTAAAAAATCTTTTCTAGCCAAATTTGTCAAAAAACAAACATGTTTAGAACTTCATTATATATTAGGCCTTTTTTGTTGGTAAACATAATGGAGCTTCACTTAAGTTTTTTTCCAACTTTAGAGATATAAGTTTCATTTAATGATTGTGATGTATAAGTCGCATTCA